CGTGTGTGCTGTGAGCCGAGCATAGACCCCCCCCCCCCCCCCCCCGGCGCCGTTCAGAGAAGCAGAAATGCTCTCACCAATCACACAGAGGACTATTTCTACAAATAACAGTAATTACATGTCAGCGCTTTTGAAATGTGACAAAGCAGACAATGTTGCTCTTATTGAATTCATTATGTTGACAGACACTTCATCCTTTCATTTATCTGCTCTCACTGAGGCCGGAGTGAACGTGTTAATTTATACTTGTGTATTTTCTTCTGTTTTCACTCTGCTCCGTGTCAGACTGAAGGAGGGAGGTTCTAAAGACGGACACTTCAACAGGTTCAATACAGCATGTGCATGTAGGTTAAAGAAGGCAATGCTAAACGTGGGCTAAGAAATAGCTAAAAGTTAGCCCACAATGATAAGGTACAGTTAGAGTGGGGAAAAAAAACTAAATATTTAATGAAATAAGCCTCACACCAAAGGAGCTGTAATACGGGAGCATCAAGATAGCAACTAGCTAACTCTCCAGAAGTTAAATTGAATAACAAAAAAAATACCCACAATAATAATAGCTAATAAATGTTGACATTAATAAATGTCTTTTAAAAATAACCTTAAGTTAGCTAAGAGTTATTAACAATCGTTAATAGTTAGCCAAGAGCTTAACATTTACATGTGGCCCAGAGAGCTATATGTTATCATAGAAACAGCTAAAGGTTAGCCAAAAGAACATTCTTTTTAAAACCCCAGGAAACAACGGCTAATTACTGCTCGGCTCCATCGTCGTTGTAAATTAAAATCCATGTTTATTTATTCATTTATTTTTATTAATTAAACAGCCCATCAGCGCCTCCCTGCTGTTGTCTGGATATATCCACAGCCCAGCAGGAGGCGTGATGTCGGACAACATTATCCTAAATAAAAAAAAAACCGAAATAATATTCAGGCTCCTCCCAAATTAACAAGTGCCTTTTTCATTTTTAACACCAGGTCACCATGACATCATTTGTCCTCCTGGTGGTGCTGTTGTTAGAGATCAAGGAGACGACTAACAGATGACTTCAGCGCAGGAGACCAGAAGATGAGATAAGACAAAGACCAACCCGATGTGAAGGTACGGTGAAAGAACATTGGTTTTTAAAACTCTGAACTTTTAAACACGTTTTTAAAAACTCGTTTTAAACCGACGTGAACTCTTCACACACACAGATCCACTCTGAGCTGCAGGATCGCAGCTGTGTCCACGTCACTGACCAACTGAAGACCAACAGCAGAAGTGAGTCCAACATTTACGTCCTCTCGCTGATCCACCAACATGGTCTGTTTTTAGTCCTGGTTTTAGAGACAGGAAGACGGGACTGTGATAAATGATGGGCGTAGACTTGTTTTTTGCCCCGCCCTCCTGTGGATGAGGATGGTCAAATGTAAACTGGGTGTCTGACCTGAAGTGGAAGCCTCCTCAAATGCATGCTGGGAGTTACAATAAGCTGGAGGTGAAAAGAGTTTCCCAGCAGTGTGTGTAAATAACATTACTATAGTAACACTGTGTTGGAGCATTACTGATGATGATGGACTGTAATTATTGGACAGACAGAGTTCTGACCATGTGTTTAAATGCATCAAACATTTAAATCTGATTTTATTCCATATCTTAATCATTGCAGCTAACACTTACTTTTAACAGACCTTCTCCTTTCCTCTCCTCTGCTTTTCTCCCTTTAGGATTCCATAGGCTTCTGTTAACCATCAGCAATTATCTCCCTGTCAGAGCTAAAGGTAACAAATTTCCCTCCCCTCCCACCACCGCCCACACCCCCACTATCATCCTCTGGACACCAGCATCAACTGACAGCAGCTAAATCACCGGAGCCCGGCTCAGCCCAGACTCCTGACAGACAAATGGACTACCCTGGAAAACCTGGAGCCATCAGTCTAGGAGGAGCTGAGGAACACTCTCCCTGCTGACCTTATACTGCTCCTCCTCGTCCTCCTCCTCTGGCTCCAGCTCTGAGAGATGGACTGCCCTGGATCCAGTGAGCACCAGGCCTCCTTCCCAAATAAGAGAATTATTAATGGAGGTTCCACGCCGCCTACTATCAAACCAGGTCCTGTTTTGCCTTTAAATACTTAGCTATGTCCATTTTTGTGGTTAAAATTCAGAAAAAATCAACTTTTTTGGTACACCACCTTTTGATCACACTAAGATACTATAGCAACAAGTTCCCGAACAAATCTCCGAAAAAAAAAGTTTCTCAAAAATGACTAAAAATACACTCATTAGCCTTAAAATACTTAGCTATGTTCATTTCTGTTGTTAAAATTCAGGAAAAATAAACTTTTTTGGTACGTCAACTTTTGATCACACTAAGATACTATAGCAACAAGTTCCCGAACAAATCTCCGAAAAAAAAAGTTTCTCAAAAATGACTAAAAATACACTCATTAGCCTTAAAATACTTAGCTATGTTCATTTCTGTTGTTAAAATTCAGGAAAAATAAACTTTTTTGGTACGTCAACTTTTGATCACACTAAGATACTATAGCAATAAGTTCCCGAACAAATCAAAGTCACTTTCAATGTAATATTTCCAGCAAAGGTGTGTTGAACAGCTCCAGACTGCTTATTTTCCAATCTAGCTAAATGTATGTAAATATATATATATGATTTTACCTGATATTAGTTTATGTATTGTACTGTACTGTTATCTTTTCTTGTTTCCCATCATTTTAGAAAAATTGGAGGAAACTTTTAGAAATATTTTATTATTATTATTATTATTAAATTTGTTGTCAAAATGTGAACTTTGTTTGTTTGTTTTTTGTCATTTTCTTCACTATTTTTTTTTATTTTAGAAAAAAAACTGAAAAACATTTTGAAAATGTAGGGTTTTTTCATTTATTTTGAAACATTTTTTCATACGTTATATTAATAACTTTCAATCATTTTTTTTTATTTTTGAAAATCTTTTTTTTCAAAAACACGATTTGTAAAATTTTTAGGCGTGTTTT